TCCCTCTCGGAGCATGTAAAATGTCTGTTTTGGACCACAGCTCCCGGGATCCCCTAGTCAGGCTGTTGGGGAATGCTGGGCGCTGTAGTCCCAAGCAGTAGCATTTCCTAGCAATTCTCCTTCTGGAAGCTTGAGTCCTCTGTTGACACGCAAAGATGGGAGAAATGTGCATGTTATTTGGGGTCTGTGATGTTGGACGTTATCACACGGGGAGTCGTGGGGAGAAAGTGGAAATAAACGGGCATGAGCAGAAGTCTTTAATTTACGAGATTTGTCCCGTTCCGCCTCGTCTGATATCTAAATTCGAATTTAAAAGGGGGTTAATTTGAACGAAAACCTGATCTTTTCATTTTTGGGATTTTTGAGGAAATGAAAAGATCAGGTTTTCGTTCGAATTAACCCCCTTTTAAATTCGAATTTAGATATCAGACGAGGCGGAACGGGACAAATCCCGTAAATTAAAGTCTTCTGCTCGTCCCGTTTATTTCCACTTTCTCCCCGCAACTCCCTGTGTGATAACGTCCGTTGTCTAGTAATCCTGTGAAAGCCCCTTCTGTTCCAGCGTGCCATCCTTAGAAGAAACTGAAACCATATAAGTACAGAAGCTGAAGTCGACACAGATCCTGCTTTAAAGTCGGCCGTTGTCTGCATGCGTCTCTCTAGCTTCCATACTGGAGGGATTGTAGGTCTGCTTTCAAGAATGATTCATTTCCCAAGAATGTGGGTATCAAACTGCACAGACCTCTTCAGCTCCTCGCCCAGGAGTTGATGGGATCTCTCTTTCTTGCTGATACAAATCCACACCCGCTGGGTGCCAGTTTCATCCCTCCCTGTGCACTGGATCGTGTCCAGTTACTCCGCTTACCATTACGCAACTTGACCAAGGGTAACCCAATACCTCAGGACAAATTTAGAATTGCCTAGATGTGTTTGCTCCCAGCTTGGTACCTGCCCAGAAATTACACACACACTCACAGCCTCCCCTCCAGAATAAACAAGATGCTGGTAATAATAATAATAATAATAATAATAATAATAATAATAATAATAATAATAAAATTTATTTATATCCCACCCCTTTGAAACCAATCGGGGCGGCTAACAACAATAAAAACGCATATATAATACATAAAACATCCCCACACTACCCTCCCCCCCTTAAAAAAGTATTAAATCGGATTACAAATTAAAACAACAGTTCGGGTAAAACAAATAACATATTAACAATGCCATATATTGGTTATGCCAATATAAAACACCTTTCCCAAAGCACCTGCAAAAGGCCTTAACATTGTTCAACTAGTCTTTACTTAAGACAGAAGCGGGGTAATATTCTGATGTTAGATATAGTGAAGTACGAGATATAAATAAATTATATATATTACAAGAGAGAGAGATTCTCTCGTAATAGAGAAGACTCGGGCGAGAAGAGTTTTGGCTTATAAGCCTTATAATTAACTGGATCTGAAAGCTCAATATAAACAGTTAAGAGATTGTAGAAGAAAATAGCATAGAAATTCAAAAGATTAAAAAACCCATGTGCAAGTACAATCTTCCACATTTTAACACACTTCACACCATCCAGTACATACTACTATATGAAGAAACAAATAATATTATTTACTTTGACCATACTGATCAAGCTACATTCAACCATTTGTTACTTCCACCTCCACCACCTCTTGGTATTATCTCTGTTCTTTCTGATTTTATACTGTCCCTTCATATATATATTTTGATTTAGGATGACCCTAAAATGACCATTATGCGATTTTCTTGGCAAGATTTGTTCAGGGGTGGAGGGGTGGGGATTGCCATTGCCTTCCTCAGAGGCTGAGAGAGAGTGACTCTCCCAAAGTCACCCAATGGGTTTCCATGACCAAGCAGGGATTCCAACAAGAGAAGACTCATCAAATCAGTTGCTGAATGGTGAGTCATAGATAAATCCCATTGATTCAATTCTAGAAGAGGATTTAGGCCATGATATAAATAACTTCCCTTCAGGACTGAGGGATTTATAATCCTCCAGATGTTTAAACACTATAATTCCCGGGCCATTGGTCATTCTGCCTTAGGCTGATGGGAGCTGGAATCCAACAACATCTGGGTGTCTAGAAGCTCCTTGGTTTTGAGATAACAGTAATTCTCAGAAAACAGTGACACTGTTGTTTATGTCACCAGAACACTACACATACAAAAAGAGAGTGCCAAAAGACTATATATATATATAATATATATATAAAGGGAAGAACCTCAAACAGTCCACTGATCATATTGGCTGGGGGATTTGGGGAGTTGCAGTCCAGAAAAGTAGATTTCCCAAGTTACTGGGAAGGTTTGTTAGCGTTTTCCAAACAAGCTTTCCCAATTGAACTGGACAGCTTGAGGACAGCAAGGTAGAGAACGGATTGCCCTTGTGTTTGAGATCTTGCCCATCTAACTCTCAACTCTTCTTCAAACCAAGAGAAAGTATAAGATGTCCTTCGCCCATCTAATCCTCAACTCTTCTGCAAAAAAACAGAAGGTATAATATTTCCTTCGCCCATCTAACCCTCAACTCTTC